TAAATTAAATTCAAATATTGTATTAGTTAATGTATTATGACATATATCAACATAACATATTCTTTAATTTTTTTATGAAATTCCTATTAAGTTCTGAGTAAGCACTGAGAAAGTTTAACTAGAAAGAGAGTAAATTCAACATGTCTGTCTCCTCATGAAGTTCAGACACAAGGCAAGGAATTATAATAAAGAATGGCAGATAATAGCAAAGACAGGTTGCTTCAAAAATGCAAGGGATTCTCTAACCTGTTCAAATTTCACATGAACATTTATGACCTCTGATAGTAGGATTAAGAGAAAAGTGTTACTGGAGTACATATTAGGGTCCAGAAAGCAAAGGCCAGAACAAATGGAGATTTATGAAATATTCCAAGACAATGTAAAAGGAATTTTAGTCATGTTCAGAGCAGGAAAATTAATATTGAAAGATTAGTCATGCTACTTGCACAAGAGAGTAGACTATTGAGTTGGGAGAAATGTTCAACTAATGACACTTACCTCTGTCAGAGAAAATAAATGAACTGGAAAGGGTTTAAGGGGTTTTTGAACCCAAAATAGAAGAGAAATTGTGGAATGTTTGCTTGAGATGATTTCAAGTCAATGAAATGATACAGAATCAAAGTCTATGTGATCTGTGCGAAAATGTAAAGGGATAAAGCTGGATAAGACTGTGGTCATCTATTCAATCTGATTTTTGTCCTTAAAAACACTAACAATTTCTATATACCATGTACTGTACTAATCAGTCGGGACACAAAGTTTAAGAAACAAACTGTGAGCTCTCACCTCACAAAAACTCACACTCCAGTTGGAAGGAAGAAGGACATGTGAACGATTACTGTCAAGTATTATAATAAGTTCAATGAGAGAACTTATTCAGATCATCAGGCAGTAATTGAGATAATGAAAGTAATTAACTCTAGCAGCACAGATGAGGGAAGATGTCATAAAATGATAATTTATTGGATTTTGATATTTGTTGTTAGTTGAAGAACAAATACTTTATTGAGCACTAATATGAGCTGATATTAATAAAAGCACCTAATCATTTAAAAATGCATTAATAATGAGATAGAAAAGTATGAATCAGAAGATGTATAAAAATGGACTTGCAACTTATTGTATAAAAAATTATAGATAACTTCAACTAGCAAATCTGTGCCAATCAACTTTATTTGTCTAGGACACTGCACTTAACAATGATCCATGAAGTATTTTTATCAGTGAATAGCATTTTGAAGATGATGTCAAAGATGGGGAGGGATGGCTAAAACATCTCCTAGAAAATAAAACAATGAATGACCTCTGTGGACTGAGACGACACTCATGTATAATAAGATACACTTAATTATTATCAACAATTTAAATATATATTTGAGTGAAATGAACGTGGAATTGTGGAGCCTTTCAATAACATCAGCACATAGATGACTGCTAAGACAAAGTATGATACAGGAGAGAAACTAGACAATAAATACTGAATACTTATTTTACACTAACAGAGGTGTAAAGTAATTTCAGCAGGTTAACTAGGCACTGTTTCTGCAGGCCACACTATTTAGGTTCAGTTGGAATAATGTATCATGGATTCCATGACATTAATAAATGTGGGCTATTTTGGGAGGGACTTGAAGACCAGAGATACTTTAAATAGCAAGAAATACAAAGGAAGCAACTTAAAACCCAAGCGGTGGATTCAGGTGCAGGCAAGCGATGAGGTGTCCTGGACAGATGTCAGTCTGTGCTCTGAGAGATGTCCTGGAAGGCAAACTGTATGTGGTCTCAAGACTTGGAATACTGGAGTAACCTGAGAAAGTTGAGACCCTCACCTAGACTAAAGTGCATCCCTCCTCTAGATGAATGACCCTACAAAAAGACTAAAGGGTAAAATAACATGATCTGAAATGCTAAGAAAACAAGAGCAAGGCAAGACCACATGCCAGGATATAATAGAACACAGGAGGAGATAACTAGAATGTACGTCCCAGCATTAAATGCAAGGCAAAAGCCTTGGTCATGAAGAATCAGAGAAGAGCCAAAAGCCATGCAGCACAATCCATTATTTCTGCTTTCTTCGATTCCTCTCCCTAGAACAGATTTGGTCATTGAATCATGGGCAGGCTGGTTCTACAGGTGAGAGTGATTTTTGCTTATAAGGGAAAATTGCAATTATAGAATTGATTGAATTACATAAATAATTGAGTGGTCCTCCAACTCCATTGCACAAATGATTCATTTTGAGTGAAACATACTAATTGAGCACTCTCCTATGAGTCAATCATGGTGCTAGGTTCAGAGAAAGTGAGAACAAATGAAGCCAGGTAACAGATAATCATTGGTATTTTTAAAGCTAGCAAGTAATGTGCTAAGTTCTAGAATGACAGTTGACAGCAAATGAAAGTGATGACCTATTCCCTTGATGAAAAAAGGATGTGCACGAAATGCAGGTCAAGAGCCAAGCATGGTAGTAAGTGCCCATAATCCTAAACTACACAGTAGGTGCAGGTAGAAGGATCCTGGTCTGAGGCAGATCTGAGTGAAAAGCACGAGATGCTATCTGAAAAATAGCTTTAAAAAAAAGGGCTGACTCAAGTGGTAGAACACCTTTCTAGCAAGTACAAGGCCCTGAGTTCAACCCCACTACTGAAAAAGGAAGGAAGGAAGGAAGGAAGGTAGAAAGAAAAAGAAATAGGGGCTAGTTTGCAACATTTGTTACAATGAATTACACGTAATATATTTATACAAGTAAAAATCATAAAATATATTACTTGTAATATTTTCATACTTTCCTTGATAAGGGAAATAGTTTATAGGATATTGTGGAGACTACATCAAGATCATTCAAATTAGTTTGCAATTATGTAAGTAATATGTTAACATTCTCTTTGCAAAAATTTTAATAATAAAGCATGTAGTTACATTTTATGTAAATTTAAAACATGTAGATACAAAATATGAAGATATGAGTGCATACAAAATGTAACATGAAGCAAATATCAAATAAAATAAAACCCCCAAATTTAAAAATTGGCAATCGCATAATTTAAAACGTGAACTATAAACTTATTCACATTACTGCCACAAGGTGGTGCTATTGTGGTGACTGTGGCAAGTTGGGTATTTCCACTATTCTCCCTACGTCTACATTTACATAAGAATGTGTTCATTCCACTTAAAACCAGACTTACAACTTTAAACTTTATAGACCTAAATTAATGAAATTATTTTGTATGTAATGTACAAACTGTAACCCACTGATGTTAGTAGACCAAATTCCTTGAAGACTTACCTCATTCTTTAACTGCTCTGTAATATTTCTTAGTTGGAATATATTATAATTGATTTGGCAAATCTTGAATTACTGATCAGTCACTGTTTTCAGATTTTTCACTAAGATCAATAATACTTTAGGGAATATCTTTACAGAAGAACTTTTGTAAATGTCACCGTGTATCCCCAGTACAAAAATTTAAAAAATTTTAAAGTAATTAAAATTGGAAAAAAAATAATAAAGAGCATATTTGAAGAACTATCTTTGTACAATGGACCGAGGTCTTACACTTGTCAAGCAGGCATTCTACCACGTGAGCCACTCTGCCAGCCCTGTTTGTGTTTTGTATTTTTGATATAGTGCCTTATGCTAGGATTGGCCTGGACTGAATTCCTCCTACTTGTGTTTACCTGTGTAGCAGGGATGAGAGGCTTGTGCCTGTTTTCCTAGGTTGAACTTCACCTTGATTCTCCCAATCTTCATCTCCCGAGTAACTGGGATTTCAAGTTTGAGCCACTGCACCCAGCCAAATGAATCCTTTTTTCATTGCTGATAAATATGGTTGTCTTATTACAAAGGTGTAATCACTTAAGCTTTAATCAGTATTACATAAGAAACTTCATAATCCCTCATTACTTGTGTCTGCATATTTTTTACTTTTAAATATTGCTTCCTCAAATAAAACTGATGTTGCTGTAGTTTAGTTTAGTTTTACTAATTAGTAGCAAGCTATTGTGGTTTGGTTCAATGAATTTTCTGCTCATATCATTTGTTCTTTTTTCTTTAAGGTACTAGGGACTGAACTCAGGCTCTTCCCTACAGTGCTCTATCTCTTGAGCCATACCACCAGTCCTTTTGCCTTCAGTTTATTTTTCAGATTGGGTCTCATTAACTTTGCTAAGCTGGCAACAAACTCACAATCCTCTTGTCTCTGATTTAGGATTACCTGAGATTACAGGTGTGTACCACCACACTAGACCATTTTTCATTTTTTCTAAAGGGCCAATGTTCTTTTGCCTTTTGGATTCATCACAGCTTTTCCTGTGTTATAGATATTAGTTATTAGATTATGTCTGTTAAAACTATTTTTGAATTAATTTTTCACCTATCACAGAACTTTTGATTTGACAGTTTTCATTGCCAGTGAGTTTTAATTCTTAGGTGTGAGAATTATTTTTTCTCTTATGGCATCTGGGATTTGTTTTGTTTTCCTTTGAAAGAGTTTTCTAAAATATTTAAGCTATGAAGATTTTCTACTTTATCTGCTTGTAATATAACCCAAGTTTTTTTTTTTTTAAACACAGAGTATTTTTGTACACATAGAGTTTATATTTTTATAGATATGGAATTAGTTTAGCACTATGAGATTGAAAGGACATTTTCTTTCTCTGATGATTTGAAAGTTCCTTTATCCTATGCCAGTTTGAAATATGCCTGGTTCTGTGCTGAACAATTATATTCCATTCTATAGTTGACCAAAATCTTAACATTTTCACATAAATAAATGCAATGGATCACAGAATTATCCCCATTTCACACGAAAGCAGGAGAGGAGGTTAGAGCTAAGATATTTGCATGAAATTCCATGACTACATTGGCAGGTGACTTGGGTCTAGGGACCCATTTTTCTTATTTTGCATTCAGTGTTTTACCTATCCACTGTAAACTATGATTTGAAATGAACGGGAGAAGAGGTCACTTTATCCTCTTTATCGCAATTCTCTTTTAGTGGCACAGAAGTACTCAGGCTGCAGCAGATCCCCGTGCAAGAATGGGGGTACCTGTATAAATGAGAGGACCAGCTTTGTCTGTGCGTGCCGCCACCCTTTCACTGGGGACAACTGCACTGTCAAGATGGCAGAAGAAAATGCATCAGCCCCAGGTAAAAAAGTCTGCAAGCTTGAATTTGCTCAGTGTCATGCACCGAAACATGCTCTGAAAATATTTGCAAATGAATCCTTAAGCCTACCTAATCTGTTTCCATGTGAGAATTAATTCATTTTACTTCTGAAACTTATTGAATAACGTACCTGATTTGCAAGTGGAAAAAAATGTCTTTGTGTGAGAAAAACTTATGTTTGCAGGCACTTGTTGACATTTTTAATACTGGTATTCTAAAGCCAGTTTACTGAAAATCCGAGCACCCTCACTTTTATACATATTAAAAGAAAATGCAAATTTATGTATCTGAGTGGTATAAATTCTTTCTCCTCAAACAAACTGTTTAAGAAATAAATCTTTGGTTCATGTCAGACATGGCTGTTTAAGGGAGTTTTACTACGTGTTTGATGGTTTAAATGAAGATTACGCTAATAACACAGTTTCAACTACACAAAGATATGAGCATATGCTCAAATGTATTGCTCAAAACAAAATGCCTTTCTGCATTAACTCTATAGGTATTGTTTGCTTTACATTTACTGCCAGAGTACAGCACTTCTGATTTTTGTACAAGAAAATAGATATTATCTTTGAGAATAGCAAAACCATATTTAAAATTGACCTGTACTTAAAGTGCTGCATGCTCAAGAGTCAATTATTTTAGTCTGTTTTAAAATCTCAGCTTTAAAAAACACATTTAGCATTAATTATGAAGAAAATTCGTTTTGTCTACTTCTCTACAGTGATTATGACTTCATTTGGTTTCTGTTTCAGCCTCTAGAAACTGTTTGATGAGATGTTGGAAAAATTATTTCTATATCATGTCAGCTTCAATTCCTGCAAGGGACTCTAAAATATGCTAGCATACCGTGATAACCATCCAGTGAGCCCTCTGAGCTCCTTTATCTCCTGGGAGATCAAAGCAACATGCAAATTAATCTTTGAGGCGTTTCTATGAGGGAGGCATCAACTGTTAGTTTTATTCTGTCCTGATCTAAATGGAGAAACTGAGGCTTCAAGAGAGGAAAGTGACTTAGGATAGTTCAGCTAAGAGAAGAGCCAGGCAAACAGACACATATACCATTGTGAAATTTGATGTAGGAACTTTTGACTTCTCAGCATTTTTGCAACTGAGATAAAATGATAAGTATTTGGAGGAAAAACAAAGCAAGTCAAAATATGCAAATTAACCTCTGGTATTTTTTTCCCTTTAAACAGATTTTTCCAAAGGATCTTACAGATATGCACCCATGGTGGCATTTTTTGCATCTCATACATATGGAATGACAACACCTGGCCCTATCCTATTTAATAACCTGGAAGTCAATTATGGAGCCTCATATAACCCAAGAACTGGAAAATTCAGAATTCCCTATCTTGGAGTGTATATTTTCAGATATACAGTTGAGTCATTTAGTGCTCACGTCTCTGGATTTCTAGTGGTTGATGGAGTAGACAAGCTTACATTTGAGTCGGAAAATATTAACAGCGAAATACACTGTGATAGAGTCCTGACTGGGGATGCATTATTAGAATTAAATTATGGACAGGAAGTTTGGTTGCGTCTTCTAAAAGGAACTATTCCAGCCAAATTTCCCCCTGTTACTACATTTAGCGGTTACTTGTTGTATCGTACATAACGTAGAATGACTGACTACACATTTTCTGAGAAAGAGACAGCGGCTTTATCCTTGCATGCACATCTGCTCTGTGTGGTTTTTCTACACTAAATGAAAACCAACTTTTTAAAATCTGAGTAAAACTGTGTGTGTGTTTATCTCATAAAGTTATTTGGATAGCCTGTACATAAAGGAATTCTTTCTCCTACAGAAATTTAGAGGCACAGAGAACAAAGCATACTTTTAGCATGAATAACCCTGCTGTAGTTCCTTTATTTTAACTCATTTCAATGTAAAATGATATTATAAAATGCCACATTTATAATGCCATCACATAATATTGTCAGCCACAGTAGTCCTTCTGACGAAACTCTTAATTCTCATTATATTCTACAGCTTTAACAAACATTTCCTAGATTAACAAACTAAAATAAAAATTTCAAAGACAAAAAGTGCTTTACGAACTTTTATTTTTGCTTTATTGAGTTGTTTAATTTTACATACTAAAGTTTCATTACTAATCAAAACTAAAAGGTGAGGTAGAAATGTGAAATATGGTTAAGTGTTGTTCTCTTTTTGTAGTTTGAGGAGAAAGTCACAATTGATATGTATTGGATGTTTACACCCAAGTCTAAGGGTGTGTAAGTGGATTATTTACCTGGCTCCACTATACAGCTATAGGGAGAAACAGTAAAACCCTTTGTATAATAAGTATCTTCCTATTGAAATACATATATATCTCACCTAATTGTTACAAAGGATTAGTAATAATCTGTAAATTACTATGAATTATGGGATGTACAGAATACTCTGTTTATTTGTAAAACAATTACCATGAAATGTCCCCTTGAATCCTCACAATAACTCATATAAGGTGGCTTCATTATCGTTATGTTTATAGCTGAAAAAACTAAGACACAGACAGGCTAGGACCTGGACAGACATCCACAGCCCACAGGACTTGGCAGTGTTTAGAGTCAGGCCATATCTTATTCAGAACCTTCATCCTTCCTTGCTCTGTTTTGTTTCCTACAAAGGTACTAAATTTATCTAATAATCTCTTCTCTATGAGTGTTTAGGCTATCTCTGATTTTATTATAGAAATATTATTTTAATGGCATCCTTAAGATATATTGCTTGCATCTTTGACAAAGGGTTTAGTAAGAAAAGATTCCCAGAAGTAGTAAAAATAATAAAAAATTGATCTGGACATCATTTTCTATGCATTAGTTTATTTGATGTTTACTGTAATGACATACTAAGTTATGAAGTACATATTATATATTGTCATCCTCTTTAGTCCATGAGAAACAGAGGCCCATAGAGGCTAAGACATTTTTCAATATTATAGCAAATGGACCAAATGGACCAAAGGTCAAATATTTTCAGTTTTGGTTAGTATAATCAAACTGCCATAAAAATATTTCTACCAGCCTGTAACAAAATCAACAAGAAAGAGAGCATCTTCATGAAAGCTCATGATTTAAAAACATTTCCAGTCTTTAAGATGAAAATAGTATCTCTGTACAATAGAAACTTGAATTTTTTTTCAGATTTGCCAAAACTTGAAAGCATATGTCCATACAAAGAATTGTATATTTAATGTTCACAATTGCCAAAAACTGGAAATCACCCACATATCTAAGACAAGCAGTTAAGCCATCTGGACATGTCTGGACAATAGAATATTACAAAGTCATACAAAGGAATGAATATAATGCAACACCATGAATCTCACAGTAATTATTCAGAAGATTTTGAACTACAGCCAAACTAACCTTGGCAAGTCTGCAAGTGAGCATTCTCCACCAGAATGTCCCCAGTGGAACAGAAATTGCTGGGTCTTCATACCCCCCCCCAATTCAGTAGTAGACTCAGGCTACCAGGGAAGAGTATGACCTAAGAGCCGAACACCAGAGGCTGGAGACTGACCACTTCTACCCTGATACGTGTAAATGCATCATTTGCAAAAGCATTTGAATAACTTGGATACTTTCCTCAGTCCTGGCCTAAAACTTCACTATAATTAAATTATTTTTCATTTTATTTCTTCAACTGCTCATAAATTAAATACAATTTTTGCATTCCAAATATACTTTTCAAAATATATCTTAGTGCTTTCATTTGATAATATTCATCATGGTCATGTCCAATTTAATTCATTGATTTTATAATTAGATAATTAACATCTAGCATTAAATAGTGTTTTGGTGTTTGGGAATTTAATTACCAATATTATTCTTGACTTTTGTATGTATTGATAGAATGCATGATTAAATAAGCAAATTATCCCCAATAACCAATTTTAAGTTGCTTTGAACTTGTTGGCAAAATTTTTATAAGATAACCAATACAATTTAAGACAATTTAGTAATTCAGTTCTAATTGTCATGATCAAACTTATTCATGTAGAAAAAAATATAGCACTGGGATTTTTCTTGGTTTCTTCTATGGAGATGGCTGACTATCTTGGATATTACTTTGTAGACTAGATTTCAGACTCCTTTTTCATAAGACCTCCCTGCCCAGCAAGCTCCCAAAGTATGTCAGTATCTATTTATAATATATAATGTAAAAATTAATATCAAGTAAGTCAGTACAAATGCTGAAATTGAAACACATATCCAGAGTCGGGATAGTTTACACTACCACTGACATCATGGGGAATTCTGTGATAATGGTAAATTTAATAACTCTCCTTTTCTTTCAATCCTTGACCAAAATTTTACTTTCTTTTGTGTCAGTCCAGGAGTTGAGACTTCATCTTCAAAACCAATTTTGCCTGAATTGGTTCTTTCTTTTACTATTTCACCAGTCAAAACCCTCATTTTAGAAGAATGAGTTAATGTTATTAGTAAGAAATAATTCAAACATGCCATACTGGTTTTTGGTTGACTTACCTATTTAGTCTTTGTAGAAAGGATTTTTTGGTTGTTTCAAAATATAAATTTACTAACTCAATCTAATTTTCAGATGTTCAATTAAATTATATATAATACATCATTTGTATTTTATTTTATATAATATATAATTTTACATTATACATGAGCCATACTTACATATTTATATAGTATTATAAATTATATTCATACTATATAAATTCTCATTTATATATCATTTACCTATATACTCATTTAGTTAAGTTTTATATGGCTTTTGTCATGCTCTTGTCATTCACATCTGAAGAAAAAGATAGACAACTTGGTTCTCTTTTTTTAAAATTTGCTATGCTATATTAGTGTCACCTTTTTTGTGCTGAAAAACTAGTGAGTCATATTCTTTGTCTTCATCAAAGGCAATTTCAATGTAGCAAAATTTTCATCATTAATCAAACATATTTACCCATCATCTATTATTGCAGGGGACACATGGGACACATTAAAGCAAAATATAGGCCTGTTCTTTCTGGAGAGTGCAACTTAATTGGCTTGCTTTCACCTTAGAAGGCACAGACATTTGCTGCCCCAATGACTTCATACTCAAGCTTCCATCAGTAAGCTGGGGAGTGTTATTAAACACTCTCCCTTGAGTGCTTTTATCAGCTCAGTGAGATTTCTCAATGAGTTCCACTATACTTGTGTTAGAGAAAACAACACCACAGTAGTATTTATTTCTCTGGGCTGACATCCTAAATGAACAGTCCAAAACCTAGGGGAAGGTCTACATTTTGCAGTTTTTATGACTTACATATGAATTGCTTCATGAGTTGTCAAAGCCCAGTAGCCTAGGCTGGCCTTGAACTTGTGATCCATTTGCCTCAGCCTCCCTATTTATGGGAATGTACCATCATACCCCACTATAAAGCCCAAGTTTTAATAAAAACATTTTCTAGAAACAAATTGTCTTAGCTCAGTGCCATAATGAAATGTCATTGAGTTGGTGGTTCAAACGACAGGCATTTCTCCCAGTTCTGGAGGCTTACACTCTAAGAGTAAGGTCCCAGCAGATTTGGTATCTGGTGAGGGGCTACTTCTTGGTTTGTAAAAGCCTTTTGAGTATGTCTTCATATGGAGAAGGTGGAGGAGGGAAGAGCTCTGGTCTCTTCCTCTTATAAGGGCACTCATCCTACTATTAGGAACCCAGGTCTTTTCTAAACCTAATTACATCCCCAGGCCTAACCTCTACGTCCATTCATATCTGGGATTAGGTCTTTGACACAGGAAATTTTGAGGGGACACAGAAGTGCAAACCATGGTACCAAATGTTGAATCTAGTAATATTTACAATGGTGTTGTAAAGCTTTATTTTCATAAGTTTTGAAATATCAACCTGTAACGTAGTTCCCTATTAGCTGGATTCATATAAATTCTTATATCCAGCCCACTAAAGATAACACCGAAGATGCTACATGACATAATGCAGGAGTTGGTATTTGGTTAAAGTATTATTTAGCTTCAAATATTTACTTGGATTTTCTTTTTCTTTTTCAATTTAAATTAACATTTACATCAAATTCACTTAACAACGAAAATACTACATATACAACCTGGGGTGGGTATATCATAAAAACTACTCAACTGTCTTCAGCTACTCATGAAGAAGCTGATTTATTCCAAGATACAGACAATTACAAATAATGTTTAATTTTCTTTTTGTAATTTATTTCTTCTCACTTATCTATGCAGCTGCCATAATTAGGATTAGAGCACTGAATTGTACATAATGTATATTAAAAGGCCCACTTGTACTTTTCTTCATCTATATGAAATCTGTGGATTAAGGATCTCAGTAATTTGTCAGAAAACATATATAGAGAAATACATTTATTTTTAAAACAGCCATTTCTAAAGATGAATTAAGGTGTCTAGATGCATAATTTATAAGGAAAACATTAATTTCAGGTAAAGCCATTTAGCTGCAATTTATATCTCAAATATATGTCAAGACCACGTGCTCTTTTATCTTGATGTCCTACATATATTCACATGCACTAATTTTCATGATTTGACACAGAATAATCTTGCTATTACCAAAAAATATCCTACAAAGATATCTTCCACATCTTCCTATTCCCAACTTTCTCCTATTCCCTACCTCTCTATTACATTTTCGATTTAATGAATATGTTTATAACTCCTTACTCCTGCTGAAAAAGCAGTAAATAGTGTGGAGATTATTCAGTAGATGAAATTCAAAGCCTCTACAGAGATTGCACATCTTTTTAATGTGTCTTTCATTGACCTTTCTGAATTTTGCCATTCAATGCTTTAAATTATGTTTCTGTTTTATAAACTCATTCTAATTCCTTTAAGTGATCAATGGCTTTTGCCTTATCACAGAGCTCTGAATTAACAACAAACTAAGAACTTTACTCCATGCAATGAAGAGAAGCTATGAACAGGCATCATCGCTGCACTTCTGTTTAATTGTGGCTCTCTGCGTCCCATGTGGTATACTCTGTAGAACATCCGTTTGAAAAATTAAAGTCATCATTA